AATTATTGAATCGGTTTGTTTAAATGGTGGTAGTTGTAGATGCTAAAAGAAACAGACAGGATGAGAGCGTCTCTCAATTCGTGGCTGGTCAGGTTTTTCAAATCCTCAGACCAGGCCATAGTATAACCACACTTGAAGTTCTTCCAACAACTACTTGCCCCGACAAGTATTGTCTGACGAATAAGTCTGATGATATGCCCCAGCCACTGAAGCCAGTAGACTTATCAGCGGATCCAGGGTCAATTCTGTCGGTTGCATACGTTTTTATTTTATAAATGTAATTAGGCAATCCTTTTCACGTTGAAAAAGCAATGGTTAGGATTTTGGAACCAGTGCCCGGTTACGTATGACACAGTGGCTTTGTCAACCAGTGACTGAGAATTCGAGGTCATCCCTGGTGATGGCATTTCCATGATCAGATAGATGATACCCAAACTAGAAGGAACCAAAGAACGCGGCAAGTTCACCAATGTTTTCCCCATTAAATGACACAGTCAAGTTATCCAGCACGTAAAAGTAGTAAAAGTAGTGTACAACTGCAAAAACTCAGACGGATGACATTCTTACCCCTACTATCCATGGGTAGGGCCGACACATTTGGTTTGTGACCTTCAAGATCTGGGGATCAATGCTGGTTTGCTGATCACAGTCAAACAACACTCTCAAGCAAAGTCAATATCAACTCAAACTGCAATAATGAGCATCCCGGTCACTAAATGCATGCCTGCTTGCTGACAATGTATATATATATATATATATATATATATATATATATTCACAAAAGTCTGAATCCAGACTGTGTGCCAAACAAATCATGGTACAATAAATAATGTGTATGTAAAAGAAAAACGTTCCATAATTTACGTGGGGGTAGAATACTGCCAGATTGCCCAGGCCAAGGCAGTTGAATTTTCTTGAGGAATACACAACCGGAGCCTTTGACTAGCCAAAGCCTGACCCGCAAGGCAGAGGGGCGGTGCACGAAAATCGCGATCCATTGGGGGCCAGTGTCCAGTTCGTCGGATCATACGCCCTTCGGACGGGGTCAAACGTCCAAGGTGCCCAATACACCTCGATGTCCAATCGAACCGGTGACCACTATCACAACCAGGACGTGGTGTGAGTGTGTGTGTGTGTGTGTGTGGTTCACACTCCTCTTGGTTGGTTTAGAATCAGGATTTTTAGCCAACTCCCCTAGGTGAACAACCAGTGGTCAACCAACCCGGTTATACCCCCGGATGCCGGCTTTTCGTTCTCTCACTTTGGTGGGAAAACACCTCATTCACCAGAAGGCAGTAAGTAGAGCTTCTTCAGCAGAGGCTATTTGAGACGCTTGGTCGTATGGGAGCATTTCACGAGGTGCAAGAAAAGGGTGACCAGCTGCAACCCTAGACCCCCACCCCGGACCATACTGAAGCTGGCAATGTACTACTGTCTCTTCAATAGACATGTTTATGGGGAAGTACAACAGGCATTGCTGACCAGATCGATGAAGTTCCATAACTGAGATAATCGAAATCTCAGTTCAATTTAGTTCAGTTCGATTCAGTTCGTACAACCATTAATCATGCATTTTTGTGCCTATGTGACCCGGTCTCCTTGTTAGGGGATACGCTTCAAACAGAGTACATGGCCTGGATGCCGTTCAGCACACAATAGTATGCGCAATGGAAGAGGTTCGTAAGCTACCTAGATAATATACAATACGGACTCCGATGGCGTTCCGAAGTGGAGTGGGAACACAGTCAGCACATCAGCGTGAATGTGTACCAAATAATAGTAATAAATAGATAATATGCCAAGCAGAAAAGAGAAGGCAAATCCGAAATCGTTGAGTCGATATTTTTTGAAATTTTCATCACTTGTCTCCTTAATTCGGAGCTAATTAGAGAACTTCTAACGGTACTAATAACTTACTAAAATAAGTCATCTCAAAAGGCACAAGGCCTTCGGCTCTGATGGGCTGTTCCCATTGGCATTTATGGATAGTGGCTTAGCATTAGTCTTGGAGTTGACGAAACTCCTGGGCTCAATATGGAAAGGGAAGAGGTTCCAACCGAATAGTGTGAATGGGTCATCTTGCTGATTTACAAGAAAGGTGACAGATCCTCTTGTGAAAACCACAGAGCAATTAGTTTAATCAACATTGCCTCTAAATTTCTCGCTGGCATCATACTCCCCCGATTGTCTGCCGCACGTGAACGGTGCAAACGTGAGAACTAGGCTGGTTTTAGACCTGGCCGAGGTTGTATCTACCACATCTTCACTCTCCGCCAAATTCTGGAGCATCGACATTCTTTTCGTAGACACACCATCTCTGTCTTCCTAGATCTGAAGCGGCTTTCGACTAAGTCGACCGCTCTGAACTCTGGCACTGCCTCTCCCTGAGGAGTGTGTCCGGGAAATTTATTTCAATATTACAATCCCTTTATACCAATAGCCGAAGCCGAGCCCGAGATTACGGCACTTTTTTGCCCGAGCTCACCACGGAAAGTGGTGTTCGACAGGGTTGCCCTCCCTCTCAATTTCTATTTAACTTCGTTATATATCTGATTATGGAAACAGACCTATCCTCATGTGAGGACAGTGGCATCGATTTACTTCCAGGTGACAGACTGATCTGGAGTATACAGACAACATTGTGCTGTTAAGTGAAGATTCAGTTAAGTTACAAGCATTTCTGGATAGCTTGAGTGCCGGCGTAGCCATATTCAGTATCCGTTTTGCACCTAAGTGTACAATGTTACTTCAAGACTGGGTTGGTCCAGCACCCAGTCTCACCCTAACTAGGGAAGTAATAGAGCAGGTGGATAAGTTTTGTTATTTGGGCAGCTACATCTCACCCGATGGACGCATCATGGATGAAGTGTCAGCTCGCATACAGAAGCCTCGGTTGGCATTTACTAACTTGAGACATCTGTGGAGCCGTCGCGACATCTGGCTGTCTGTGAAGAGTCGAGTGTATGCCGCGACAGTTCGGCCAGTCCTGCTCTACGGTGCAGAAACTTAGCCATTAAGAAAACAGGATGTTTGAACACCGCTGTCTACGTCGCATTGCACGAGTCTGTTAGGGAAACCGGGAGCAATGTTGAGGTTAGGCGCTAAGTTTTAGGTAATCGCGGTAGCTCACTGGAGCAAGTGGTCGACCTTCATGGATTACGTTGGCTGGGACATGTGTTGCGCATGTTAGATAGGTTACCACGGCGAGCGATGTTCATCGAGGCAGGTAGTGGGTGGAAAAATGCCAACGGTGGTCAACCTAAGACTCGGCATGAGGGTATGAAAACCCTAACCAAAAGACTGGGTCACATAGGTTCTGTTAGGCTCCCTGGCTGGGGACCTTGAGATGATCGTGACCGATGGTTAGAGACACTGAGTGATATGGCTTGGTATCATAAACAGTGGCCTCCGTGAATCTTCTCAATCTTTTTGCAACCTTAGACCACTGAACTTCTCCAATTTCTGCTCGATTCCACTTTCAACTTTCCTTTCTGCTCCTATTCTTCATCCAAATGGGCAGCCAAAAGACAGCAATTAGAACCGGCGCACGAATATCCGTGGTTAATGGTTGTACAAACTGAAACTAAAACTGATTCCCGTTTGTGGATCGGGTGACGGTAATCGGGCTTCACTAATTAAATCTCTCCTCGTTTTAATGGTTCCCGATATCCGCTTAAGACGTCCTCTTAATACGCGGACGGTGCCTTGTCTAATGTAATGCTAAATCTGTGGAGCCAGATAATTGTTCGACAGACGCGACACGAAGCCTGCCAGAGCTGATCGCTCACCTGCCTTCTCATGTGTATAGCCAGTGCGTCAAAAAAAACGATGGATAACTCGAACGTCAATGGAGTAAGATCGTTATACTTTCCAATATACTGTCTACATGATAGCACGACATCGAGAAGTGATTTTGGGATACGAAAAATTGCAAACAGACATTTTTAGATCGATGACTCACTGTGGAAACTAATAGCATCAGTGCTATGGAGTGGGTTTCACAAATGTATCATTCGTGTACGATCATGGGATAGCGACATTCTTTCTCTGCTATTATCCACTTGCAAAGATCACCTATACCCTATACCATTTAAACCTTTTTGTACTTTTGTTGTATTATAGTCGAATCTGAGTTCAGATTGTGCCAAACAAATCATGATACGAAAGTTTTTATGACATAGTCCCTGATGCTCATCGTTCAGCTAAATACAGTGAAGCGAACTTCACCAACTCATAACCTACCCAAAGTAAGTGCAGGTATGTATTGGCGAGGAGTTGCGATACTGCCAAACTGCCCAGGTCAAAGTAGGTGAATTTTCTTGGGGAATTCATAACCGGAGCCTTTGACTAACCAAGGCCTTACTCGTAAGGCAGCAGGGTGGTGTGTGAAAACTGTCCAGTTAATCGAATCATACGCCCTTCCGATAGGGTCTTACCTCCAAGGCGCCCAATACACCTCGATGATCAATCAAGCCAGTGACCACTGCCACAACCAAAAAAACGTTTGTGTGTGTGTTTCGTATACCTTTTCTTGGTTGGGTTGGAATCAGAGATTTTAGCCAACTCCCCTAGGCGAACTGCCGTTAGTTCACCGACCCGGATGTAGACTTTTCGTTCTCTCACTTGGGTGAGAGGATACCACTAGAATGTAGGTGAGTAAAGTTTCCTCATAAGAAATTATGTGAGACGCTTGGCCGTGTAGGAGCAGTTCGTGACGTGCAATCGTAGAGTGACCAGTCACGATTCAGACACCCGCCATTAATTGTACTAAGGTTCTCGAAGACAGGTATCATGCTTGTCGCAGGTGAAAAACAAACAGAACTGAATTTTTTGCAGATGTTACACCAAGCCCGCTTTGTGTGTACCAGTTCTCTTTTTCCAAGTGTTCGCTCCCGGTGAGTGTTGTTTACTCCTTCCTAATAACAATGTCTTGAGATCCCTTTGCCTTGGTGATTAAAGCTACCACAAAATCCTACCGGAACAGCCTCGAGCCTCATTAAATGCTATCCTTTATTAATCAACCCTTTGAAAGGTTTGCTAGCGTTGCAGCCACACTACGATCATATCGCCGACAGCCTCAAGACTTCTCCTTGATTGCCTCACTCGGTCACGGGGCGTTTGGTCGTGTCCAACTGGTTCGCGAGATTACCACCGGACGAGTATGTGCGATGAAAGTGCTCAAAAAATCTCGCATGCTCACACAACACACAGATTATTGGGCCGAACGTGAGATCATGGCTCGCGGAGAGAGTCCGTGGATTGTCCAGCTGTATTATGCATTCCAGGTTAGTTTCTTGTCGGGTTCGCTTTCTCGCTTCATCGCATTGATCACAATGTGAGCTTTGTCAGGGTGTTATTTCCAAAGCTTTAGACAAAACTACTTTATTTCTTACTCGACCAATCCAGATAGACCGACTCATTGATCTAATCAGCCTAGCTCCTTGACTTGTTGCGTGTTCAGTTGAGCAGCTTTTGACCGTTGACTCAGCTGGAACACGTTTAGCCGACTGAGTGATATGTGCGCTTATCCCCTGCAGTCCCCACACGCGTTAGTTAACCGCTCTAACATCCCGATTTAATTATTGTCGTATTTCAGTTGGATGAAAAGAATTGATGACATGGGACCAAGTATCACATCGACCTTTCTATGCTACCACACAGAGAGACTCCTATTTTGCCCAAAGACAACTTGGAGATATTGTGCCCACATGCACCTGAATGGATATTTATGTGCTATAGAAGCTTTGGTACCACAATCTGTTTGCCACACATCACGAACTCGGGCACGTGTGTGTGTGCTTGGCGCACAGCCATATAAAGACCTCAAGAACGAGAAAAAAGTAAATTTCAAACGTTTTAATAATTAACAGAATGGATTTACGATTTGGATCTCATAAGCATGGCTAGACTGCTCACGGTTAAGGGAAAGTTGTAGCATTGTGACCAAACTGTCCGCTTTGTTTCCTTTTGTGATACTCTCATACTCACCACAGACTGGACTGGGTGACTGGAGGATGGAAGGGTGCTCGAGATGCATGCTCAAGAACGACTGACATATATATATATATCCCCCGAAACGTTTCCCTAGTCGGATTGGTTTGCACAATCATTCGAGCAAGATGTAATCGGTTGTAGGCCCCGGGTCGCACGCCATGCGTGTAATTGATTCACAAAGGACGAAACCGTGCAAGTCAAGACCAGTTTTGTTGTCAAGACAAGATTATAGGCCTGGATAACACACGCACACACACACATATATATATATATATATATATATATATAGAGAGAGAGAGAGGAGTTCCAAATTACAAAACTGCACTGCGAAACGGTTGATTAGATTTTCTTATGAGACTGATGATTAAGGGGGAGGAGGCATCTGTTCTACAATTCAAACGATGCAAAAACACGCACACCATTCATTGCACCAATTGGGATTTGGTTTTTATGCGCCAAGACGGATTTGGTCCGGTTTTGTGGTGTAAAACCAGTGTATGTTTAATGTAATCGTTTTCGTGAAAATGCAACACGGGCGAACGTCTTTACTATTCTGATCCAGATGACCCATCCATTAGTCGCCAGAGAAGGATGAACAGAATAACTGAGTTGTTTCGGAGCTTGTAAAATAGAAAATCGATAGAACAGAATCAAACAATGATCGAGCTGGTAGCTGCACTAAAAATCGAACGGAGCAATAGAAGAGAACAAACGGGATTAAAACAAAGATTCGATATGAAGTTGAGAGATGTGTCAAGGTGATGGAATGGGTACTAACGGCCTAGGGCGTGCGGACATAATAGCATATCTTTGCAAGCAATCACCTCTGAGCGGTTTAAGTTTTTAATCTATACATGTCGTCAAACTCAACGGGTTGGGAGACGTCACTGTGAAAGGTGTTGTGAAACACTACGTAGAAGGAAAAAGTGGTATAATATCGACGAAAGCGTAAGCGCGGTTTTGAGCAACAATTATGGTTACTTTTTGTGAACCGAGGATAGATTTGCGAAGCACTCGGAAAGATGAAGTGCTACCCGAAATAAAACTCTTGAAGGAAAATGGCCACCGACTAGGTCGGATATATGTATAATGTGTGAATGATTGGACAAAATTTCCCTGGAAGTACACGACCGGTTTTGTGGTTCTTGCCGCTCGTGAGGCATGCGTATCTGATAATCTTTTGTCAGTTCCATCATACACTTGTACCCAGGAAGTGTATCTTCGTCACAATATCCTTGTTTGCAACACCGGGTGATTATATATATATATATATATGTATGTATGTATAGGGCCATGACTAAAGTGTATTTATTCCTGACTTTATCTCTCATATCTATGTTTTTGTTCTTTACTATCCAGGTTTGAGTTTGCGTGACCTTGAGCGTTGCGATAAAATTTGTAGTAGTTCGAAAGTTTCAGCTCAGATTTGGAAAATATTTTACGCAAAGCAGCATGGGAGTTCATTCTTTTTGGTAAATGATTCCATGAGAGTTTATTAAGTTCAGCACACTTATTCTAAATGGCTTATCTCTTCATTCGGTGCACAGTAAACAATTGTTTACGTATTCTGGTCCGAAGGTCAGTTCATTTAAACAAATTAAAATCAAAATCGTTAGAATATAATTATCAAGGGTGTAAATTAATAAAATAAAATACTTATAAGTAAATAGGAAAATTTGGGACAGTTTAGTGGGCCAAAAACACTGGTACTGCAAAATGTAACATTAAAAAAGTTGATTTCTACGAAATGAAAAACTATTCATTTATGGCAAGTGGTTGGTTATATCTTGAATTTTTTTAAATGGACTATTTTAATTTTTTATTAGTCATTTGAACAATCAGTTTGAAAGTCTATACAATAATTATCGAGATGCCCCCGATGACGAAACGGTGACTCGAGCGTACCCCTGTACTGACTGGAAGCCAAATAATGAAAATATTCTAGCTTGAATAAATTGATAAATTATTTGGCTATAAACTACTCACGCATCATCCACAATACTGAAAGAACTGGAAAAAATAGTCCAATAAACATAAAAGTTGATCTTCCAAAGATGACCCTGAGGCTTGCGGCTCGTTAAATAAACGTCTTGTAGTGTCACCATGCCCAAACCGGATAAAACATTCAAAAGGTTTTGAAGTATAATTGAAGGGCAGAGGCAACTTAATCGAGAGACGCATAAATCCGATGACTCAGTTGGTTTCTTGTGGAAGTAGTTCGATGTGAAAAAAGTCCAAGTTGTTGCATAATCAACGAAATTTCTCCACCAAAACATTCAACGAGAGGGAGAAAACCGATCATGTATTAGCTCGCAGTGGAGAAGCGTTGCACACAACCAATATGACGAATAGTCCGGGATGATTAATTGTTTTTTTCTCATGCTTTCGTTTGGAAACCAATGGCTCAATTTAAAATGCTGCGAAGGTCACGTAATATAAAGCCGTTATAGAACGCCCAACAAAGCACAGCATATATTGATTTTACTAACAAATTCAAATCGCATCGCCCGTCTATTTGGCAATGGGTTTATCTTATTGGTGGCCAACGAGTAATTCAGCATATTGTGAAAGCTGATTCACTAAGCTAGTTTTCTAATAAATTTCGTTTTACCTGTCAAAAGAAGTAAATATTCATCCCTCCTCACGAGTTAGAAAGGAAGTGAATACCGAATGCCTTGTTATTGCTCTCCTACACACACCAATCTGGATATCGCAAAATGTTTCCCACTGATAAGGGAGGCTTCCGCTAACTGCTGCTCTTCAAGTGCATTTACGGCAGTTAGATTTTTCACAGATGATGGTCGGTATATCTTCTCGCTTGAGGTTGGTAGTCGAAAACCGTTAGACCTAATTAAATATTATTTTTTCTCATTTTTACAGTCTCTGGAAGGGTCAAGTTCAATGTCAAATTCGTTCAATTACCGCGCAGTAGCTGGGATTTTAATTTAATCGAAAACTTTCTTGTATATGAAACAGTGATAAGTCAGCTGCCTCGACAGTGTTCATCAGTGGTTATGGTTCGGGGTATATTAGAACAAACTGGCAAATTGTGTTTGGCAGTCAACTTGGTGGACTCCACGCTAAAGCGACCACCTCTAGTGCTCAAAAATGAAGAAGGACAAATGGAACACGGATGAGATGAAATTACAATACCTGTATGAAGTGTATGAGTCATTTTAATAAATAAATTACAGTTACGTTTTCTACTGTGACTTTGTTCTCTTACAACTGATGCCCCAGCAACCGTCGTCAAAATCGCGAAATTTTGCATTTTAATGGCATGTGGCTAATAGAAGCAAAGACATAAGTGGGTATTATATCCGATATGTTGCGTCTGATGTGGGGAAACAACATATTCAATTGGGCGGGTAAAGATGATACATTTCTGCCACACACATTAGTATGCTATTGTTCTCACAGTAGTAATATTGTTCGCCGTAGATTGCGTTTCATCAGCCGACAAGAATTGATTGTCCTCACCATGTGATTTGTCGTGAACAAGTTTGCATGTTTTTTCTTCCATTCCCTCGGATAGAGCGAGTCTTGTGCAGAGTGATACGTTGACTCTCTCTCTCTCTCTCTGTGGCGAAGACACTTTAACCGTACAATGCTGACAATTTAGGGGTTGTCAATAGAATGAATATGTGCTACTCCAACCCGAGTGATGAGTGGAGCACGAAACGAGCACAAGCAATCAAATGACCCGTAAGGGGTCTTGAAGGTAGCAGGCTATTGCCATCCGGGACTATCTGAGCATTGCACTATTGTGCTCAGCTTCAAACCGCACGTAGCAGCTGTTTAGATTGTTACTTGTGAATATGCGGGTATCGTTTCATTGAATGAACAGACTGCGGACGATCAACTTTGATTTTTGGGGATGTGGTGGGTTGTCACCCGAGACAAAATGCCGGTAAAAGGCATCTTTGACATGCACCAACTGGCTCACGAGTATCTGAAGCAATCGTCGTCGCCCTATTGCACTTCGGGTAGCATTTGACCGTGAGACGGTTAGTTGGTGCTCAGGATACCATTTTATTTATATCTTTAGGAATCTTTGTGGATTCATCCACAAAGCTGACTTATTTCGCGTTAAAACGAGTCCTCTAAACAAACGGATCCAGTTCCGGGCACACTTATACTGTCGTCATCAGGCTAATAAGCAAACGATCCTGTGAAAATTGTATCATTTTTGCGTCGCATCGAGTCTTTGTCAAATGTCACTGGCAGCGTCCTACATAAATCCACCTATATGGTGCATGAACTGGGGTTGTTTGTCAAATTCTTACTACGTCAAAGTAAATGTTCATCAAGAAGCGTTCACTTAACTCAAACGACGTGTCTACTAGTTGCAATTGACTTAATGTTCGCTTGCTTAGTCGCGTACTTCATGTTGTACATGACGGAGATCATTTTCAGACAGGTTTGTTAACTTTCCTTTTTCATATTGATTATTTTAGGATGTCACCTCGTTGTATATGGTCATGGAATATGTACCCGGAGGAACTCTAGTCGGTTGGATGGAAGATGTGGAAGTGATCTCAGAAGCCGCGTGTCGATTCTACGCGGCGGAAACCGTTCTGGCTTTGACCGATCTGCATGCG